AGTCACGAATAGTATTGATTTTTAGCGCTAGCGGCATTTGGCGCCACCATCTATCATACCAAAATGGATGAAAACCTGTATACGGGGGTCACTCGACATCCTGATCACGAATATCGCACTCGTTTTTGACGCTAGCGTCATTTAGCGCAATAGGTGCCAGTTTGTCTCCATCCCCTTTTTCACCAAAATCGATGAAAACTTGTTTACGAATGTTATTTGACATCCTGATCACAAATATGACGTTCATGACACCAGCGGAATTTAGCGCTGTGCCAAGGCTGAGCCTTGCGCAAAGGGATTCGCTCCTCTCGGGCATAGCCTCAGCAGACCGCTAAATTTCGTTGGTGTCAGGAAATGGTCGTCATTTTCGTGCTTAGGGTATCATTCAACCTCGTAAGTTTTCATCGATGTTGGCGAAAAAGGTGGTTGCGCCAAATCTGCGCCATTTGGCGCGAAATGGTGCCAGCGCCAAAAAGAATCTTATATTCGTGATCAGGATGTCAAGTAACTTCCGTATACAAGTTTGCATCGATTTTGGTAAGAAAGGTGATGGCGACAAACTGGCGCCAGCGCCAAAAAGAATGTCATATTCGTTCATGATAAGGGCACCGAATAACATCTATAAGTAGGGTTTCAGCGAAAAAAATTTCTTGAGTTTTTGGAGTAGTAATAGTGGAATAAAGCCGAAGTTCTGCTATTTCTATCTTTTCCCCAAGTCTCTAATCACTGTCGCTGTCTCTCTATCAGTCTCTCACACGCTCTCTGTCCACGTTTAATGTAACAACCGCTTCTACCTCTGCCCCTCGCATTCTAGCCGCTGTGTAGCTGTTTCTTGTTACGGCGATCTACCTGCATACAACCATCTTTACCTCAAACCATGCGAAACCTCGTCTAATCCAGCCTCATCTCAGTTTTCGCATTCGAAACCTCCTTCGAGCATCATGTTTTAGCCGACTGTTTAGTAGAAAACGCCTCATTTCCTTCAGCTCAGAGTGTACCCTGCTGTTCTGTGTGTTTGCGAAAAGCAGGATTTCGGAACCCCCGATGGAGGAATCAGTCGTACGTCTATGATCCTTAGCTTTTGCCATGTCACTGTTTTAGCACCATCTTCGTGTTCCGCGCCGCGGTTTGTACAGTAGATTGCGAGGCCTCGCCCAATTGTCTTCAAGTCTAACTAGGGCCCCAATGCCCTTAACTGTGTGTCTGTCTCTTCTCTATGTTTGTGTGTGTGTACCTGCATTGTTTCGGATGCTGAGGTAGATGATCGCCGACGATTTGATTTGTTTTAGTTACATTCATTCATTGATATACTATTTCGCTTGATGACCGCAGATTTACTGAGTAGCGGTTTGCATTGTTTTAACCGTTTTTCTTCACGCAGAGTATCATTATGAGAGCCCAGTGAAAAGAAATACCAGTGAATATCCCGGTTCGAATTAAATGTGTTTGATACCAGTTGAATTATTTATTAGAGAGCATGTTGTAAGCTAATCCTGGTGTTCAATGTTACGTTTTATCGCTTGTATTAAAGTTTTTTCGTTTCGTTGATGTTCAACACAGCAGAATTTATGGCAGTCAATAAGTCTGGCTGGGCAGCGTTTAGACTTCGTGATGACACGCGTCGACGCGCGTCATCACGAACTCTGAACGCTGCCCTATACGAGATGGCTGGCTGGCTGTTGAAGTGGTAGATAGTCCCGGCTTATGACAGGGTAATGGCGTCTACAGTGCCTTCACGTCTCGATCCAATTCTTGTTCTCAAACGCACATTCCGCGCTGGTCCTGTGGGTGGAGAAGGACAAAACACGGACCGACAAGGACAAAACATACGTTGGTGGCGTCGTGTGCGATGTGGCGCCTGTAAGTAACGATGTTTCTAGGTAGTAGATGGCGATAATGGGCAAGGAATATCCAAAAATAATTATAAATGTCGTAGATGTCGTAGTGAACATGGGGTCTGCTGCGCCGATCGACAGACTAATACAAGTGAAGAGAATCCCGTCCCATCTTGTGTAAGTCTGTCGTCGTTTTCCGTATT